TTACTTTCAAAATTAACTTCATCAAATCTATTTTTATAACTTTCTTCTATTAAGCACATTAAGAATAATTATTTTAATAAAAGTTTGTTTTTTATATTTCTTGCACTTTTCTTTTTCATCATAAAACTTTTTCGATTATCTAAAATTTAATTATTTTATAATAATTATAAAAATTTATTTTAACGTAAAATACAAAATTGAAACTATTATATATATGTATTGAACTGAAATTATTTTTAACAAAGTAAGAAAATTTAACACCATATTCAATATAATAAAATTTATCAACAAATATCCTATTTCTATTGTTTTCTACTATATACAACGCATAATGAAAATCAATGATATAAGCTGGATGGATGGAAAGCGATTCTTTGTATGTAAAAGTAAATCGAAAATATAGAATGGCAATTATTATTAAAGATTTATTCTTAAAAAAATCGATTATGAAAATTCATCAAGTATGTATGCACTTGTAAAATAATTAAATTTAATCAATTAAATTTTTTCATACTTAGTTATTTCTGTTTTTATATATGTAAACAATTTTTATAACTTTATTATTATCATATTATTCATGATATTTTTTTTCATCTTTCTTTTTTTTTTTACATGCAATTATATCAATATGATTTTCCATTATTGCGTAAAAATAATGGAAATAATGGAATTGCGTAAATATAATTTATATTTTATTTGTTTTTTTATTTATTTGATAATTTTAATTCTTTTATATATTATAAATTTAAAATATTAAGGAAATATATAGTATTGAACAATACAATATGATAGAAAATGGATGTAATAAAAATCAAACACATGAAAAATCTATTATAATTCTATCAATTAAGTTAGAATTAGTAATTAGAAACGAGATATAAATATAATAAATAATTAAAAAAAAAAAAAAAAGAAGTGTGGTATTACATCATGAGTTTATATGCTGATTTGAAAAATTTGAACTAGTTCATTTGTTTTAAAATTAAAACTGTTATATTTCTGTATATATGTATGTAAGTATGTGTATCTTTTTTTTGGACACTCCCTGCCTTTCACATTTTACTGTGTATTAGTCATGGAAGATTGGTAAGGTTACAATAAAATCCGCCTTTACCGCACTGATAGTATATATTATAGTGCTCTCTTACTAGATCGTTTTCCAAGAATATTGCAAATTGACTTTCAATATCGTATGAAAATTTTATAAATATTTTTATTAACAAATATTCCATAATTAAAATATTAAAATAATATATATATATATACACATAGATATTTCGATTATAAAATTAAAATAATATTTGTCGAATTAAAATATTGTTCTATCATAATGAAATTAGAGATGATTGAAACCGGATTTTTAAATTCATAAAATTTAAATTCGAAATTTTGTGGAATTTTGAAAATTTCGAAACGAAATTCTTTAAAATACTCATTTTCTTTCTTTTTTTCAAAGACTTGTCAAGAAATAAAAATTTTTATAAATTTTGACAGAATTCTTCAAATTCAAATATGAAATTTGAAAAACTTCTTGAAATTTCGATATTTGAGACTAGATCCATCTCTGAATAAAATATATTAATTATATCGAAGCAAAATTTTGTTCAATTCAAGAATATGCTTATAGAAGAAAAAAAAAAAACTGATCTTTCGGAGAATTGATTTGAGAACACAAAATGCATTAATCATGATCCTTTACGAAATTCAGAATTGATATGGATCATTCATGACGTACGTTCTAGTTTTCCGGTTGCAATTCTGTTGCAATTTATTACAACGGTTCAAAATCAAATGTCCAGTTCCGTTGCGCTCTAAAAAGCAATGCATACACAAGTAATCGTATAATTAAATCAATGGGAGACAATCTTTATTTGTATATAATCTTAAGCACGTATGCAATCATGCATGTGCATTAATTAAAAAAAAAGAATAAAAATAAAATAAATAAAAATATATATATATAAAAGATATACATAAAAAAATGAAAATTAAAAATTAAATTAAAAATGTAAATTAAAAATTATGATTGTAATAACAATGTAATAAAAGAAAGCAAGAAATAAATTTGAATAATTTATTATCAATGCATAGATTATCAAATTTTATATTTAAAATCATAATTTTAAAATTAATTAAAGTATGATTAGATATAATGAATAGATGTACATATATATATATATATATATATGTACATGTAAATATTGTGAGATCAATCATTTTCATTTTTTGTTATTTTAATTATTTTATTTTTATAATAAAAAGAATTATTAAGTATCATACTATTAATAAAAGTCATACAAAAAAAGAATATATAAAATCAAGATATAATTGAGTATTAGATTATTATAGATTTATATATATATCTGAAGGCGTAATTGAGTTCTTTCACTTCACATTTGAAGCATGATCGTGAAGAGTAATTCTTCAAGAATGTAGTAAAATTATGAAATTGTGTCAAAGAATTATCATCACTATTAAATGTTTAAAATATAAATCATATCAATTAATCGATGTCAATATCTTTAAACTAATTTTATATAAAATTTTGTGCGACTCTGTTTATTTTTATTATGTAGTAAGATAATTAATTCTTATATCATTCTTTTGAATAAGTTTTTAAAAATTTATATGTTTATACATAAATAATTTAAAGATGTTTGAATAAATTATTATGTAAAAGAAATATTTTGTAATATTTATTTAGATTTATTGTATAAATATTTATTTGTGACAAAAACAAAAAATTAAAGAATTATATCGTTTTAAAATCATTTAGAAAAATCATTTTATATATAATATATATAAATAATAATATATATACAATATATATAAATAATTAAATATAAAATATGAATACTAATACAGAATTTAAATAATAATTAAATGAATAAAAAAAAATTTTGATTCTCTTAGAAGATAAAAAATATTATTCGACATTTCTAATTCTCATAATTTAAAACTTGAAGTTTTTAAAAGTTATTAAAAGAACACAGTTTACATCCAAAATTTTGATAATTAATTGTTGTTGTAGAAAATTAACTTTGCTTTTATTTTTTATTAAGTTCCACGAATAATTTTAATATAATATTTTAAAGCTTCCATTTTAATATTTTAATATGTTTTTATAGTAAATGAAAATTAGATTCCTTTTCTTTACAATTTATAATTTTTATGTTGTTATTGCAAGAAATGAGCATAATATAGTGACTACATAAAATTTTACAATTTGAATAAGTGAAAGTACATATATTTTTTAATCTAAAATTTTAATTGATTTTTTATCTTCAACATTATATTGATGCAAATGAATTCTTTTTTAATTTTTCACTTTTTATAGATTGCAGTTTTATATATAATATATATTTTTTTATATATTATATATATATTAAATTGTAACTGCATTGATAAAAAAAATGATTATATACAGATACTCTTAAAAATAATTAATAATAACAATAACTTTTAAAAATTAAAATATGATTTAGAAATATAAATAGAAAATTTATATTTTTTATATGAAAGATATACAAAATATTTACTAGAGATTTATTTAATAAAAACTATTAAATATATTGTAGTTTCATATAAATTATAAATTCAATAATTAACATAAAATTATGTGAAATCTTTAATTCTTTTTTTAAAAAGTAATTTATTTTCTGTATCATTCAAAATTATTAATTTATTTTATTAAAATATTTTTTAAATATAAAATTCTATATATTATTTATTTATTTTACTGATAAAATTAAAATATCATTTTAAACGTCTAATGTATTAAGATAATTATTTTAAAACATAGAATAAATAATTAAATTAATTAATGAAATTAATTCACTTTTATATTTTTTGAATGAATAATTAAATTTAAATATTAATATATAATATTTGCAAAAAATATAATTTTTATAGACTATAATCTTATATCATATATATTATATAATTAATTAATTAGAAGTTTTATTGTAATTAATTTTTTAGAAGTTTTTTATTATATTGAAAAATAAAATTATTATAAACTTCTTGAAAAATATATATATAATTAATGTAATATTACATTAAATTAATATTGCATTGTTATCTAATTTCAAAAATGGAAAATACAAATAAATAATATATTGTCAATAATAACTTTCAATACTTACAAAGCTCTGTACTGGTCAAATGTGCAAAGAATGAGTGCTGTTTCTGGACGAGAAAACAACTAAGAACTGATACCACTTACCTGGTTATCGTACCTCTTATAGGTCTGTACTCAGAGCTAATGGTAATACGATGGTTACGGAAGGGGTTCAGGATGTTGAGAATAATGGTATACAATGCCATTTCTTGAAACAAACGAAGAAATTCAAATTTATAATAATTTATAATTTATAATTATAAAAACATATTTAATATAGATTATTTATAATTAATTTAATATATAGAACAATAAATATATTTATATATTTTTTAATTTTAAAATTAATATGTTATAGTATTTTAAATATTAATCTATAATTATATATATCATCGTTAAAATATTAAAAATCATACAAATTACAAGTTGTCAATATTATGTAAAAAAATATTATTGCATTTCAATATTCATAACAATTGTATTAATAACAAATAAAGTTTTACAAATTATAAATTATCATTAAATTAAATGATCATTGTTCCATTTAAAATTATAAAAGAACAATTGAAAACTTATAACTCATTGAATTTATATGATTAATTAATACAAATTATTTTATAAAAGAATTTTAAGGAACAAAATATTATACGTATAATATTGTTAGAATTGAAAATTTAATCAAATTAACTATTTTCTTCTGGAATAAAAATTGAAAATTTTCAAAACGTAAGATCATAATCTTAAAATTTTAAAAATATATCTATAAATACAATTATATAAAAAGTTAAATTTTATTTATATATTTAACTTTAATTTTAATACGCGATTTGGTTCATAATATCCAAAAAAGAAATTGAAATTCTCTTGTCTCAATATATATGTATATATATATACACAAATATAAAAAGTTAAATAAATAAATAGACAATAGGTATCGTTCGCTGCATTGCATATCCACCCTTCTTCGACATGTAAAATTCGATACAACCGCGTTTCATTCGTTTCTCTCGTCAACGTGCTTTCACATACGTCATACTAATTAGAAATAATTTAATATTCCGATATATGATGATTTATATGAACTACAATCCGGCATTCACCTAAATTCGTTTCTTTCAGAATGTACATCTTTTACATTCTTTATATCGGTGAGTACTTTCGACTAAACCTAACGATAATTCTTCATTTTCTAACCAAATAAATATATTTTAGTACTGCTGACTTTCGAATATTTAGATTGTGGAAGGGTTCATAAGATTCCAGTTACCTTAGTAAGTCTAATCTTATTACGTATTTATGCAATTGCTAATTCTTTCATGTTCTTGCATTCTAATAAAGAATCATTTAGTAACCTTCAATGAGAAAACTTGAATTCGTGTCATACATTTATGAATTCAGTTTATTTATTACAAGGTAACAAATACAAATAACTATGCAAATTTATCATTTTCCTAGAGAAAATATTTGTAAAATAATATTTTTGGGTTAATATACTCCGTTTCGAATAAAGCTAAAATATGAAATATAACATAGATATCTAAATATAATAATAGAAATCTTCTTTTTCAATAATTAGAAACATTTCCAAGAAATTATCATAAATTTATGTAATCAAATAATTTTTGTAACATATTTATAATGATCACTAAAATCTTTCTACTAGAATCAAAGAGAAATACGTTACGCCGAAGGAGGAACTTGTAACAGCAGTCCAGGTAATCCAAATAATTCAAAGAAAACTGCAGAAAAAAGTAGTAACATCGCGCAGAAAGCTGCACAGGAAGCTAAAGCTGCTTCAGATGCACAGAATATTGCTGGTCAGCAAGCCGCACGTCAAGTACTTATTTTTTTTTAATATATGTATTTATTTTGATTATAAAAATATAATTAATAATTTATGTCTTTTTCTTTTTTTTTTGAGACATAAATTATCATTCCTCCAATCCAAATATTTATATCATAAGAAAATTTATCTTAATTCAGAAAATTAATGTTATTTATTCATTTTTCATATTTTTTAAAAAAAATTTTATTTAAATTATGAATAATGAAAGAATTATATTATATTAAGTTTTAATCAAATTCTGTCTAATGAACTCGATTACATCATATTTGTTTCTCACGTGCAGAACTGATGCGTATATTTTATGAGCATTCGCATCATTCATTATTACGAAAACATACACAAGACAACTTGCGTTCTTTACAAAATTGCTAAACTTTAATTCCCACATAGTATGTGAAAATAATTGTTTTGTAGCGTGTAACATTTCACTAAGTAAATATTAGGTCGTTGACTGAGTTTTACGGATCTTTTACCTTAAAATATTCATTAAAATAATGTCATTGTAATTATCCTTTTTCTAATCGAGATAACACCCATTAATTTGAATGATTCATTCCAACAAATTAGATTCCATTTATAAAAATTTTTTGTTACAAGAAAAAGTAATAGTCACTTTCTCATTTCGTCATGCTAATTTTTCATATTGTATTGCAATTTTTAAATTAAATTATTGATTCTTAAGAAAATCACATAGCTATTTTTATGTATAAATATTTTTACTTCTACATATCATATAGAAAATTCTATAATAAAAATTTTCATCATTTTTATTTCAATGCAAAATATATATCGAAATATAATAAATAGAAATGATTTATGATTTGAACAAATAATGAAGAAAATGTTGAAAATTTATTGTATAACTATTAAATGTTTTATATTTGTTATAACAAGTTTTTTAATATTTCTTTTCAATTTTATTCTATCAAAAATGTATTTTTATATAATTATAAGAAAGAAAGATTATTTGATTATCATAAAGAAAAATTATCTTCAAAAAGAAAACATTAAAAATAGTTGAAGGCAATATTTGAATAATAAGATTTATTAAAAATGATTTCTTTTTTAATTTATTTCATTGTCACAATTTTAGCAACATGCTACAAAATGACATTTTCGATTACTTTGACATTACATATAATGTCCTCTACCAATACATTTTACAATCAATGAATTCATCGATATATTTTGTTAAAAAAATGGCTTTCAAAAAACAAAAAAAAATCGAAAAATATAAATTCACTATAATTTAATATCATCATTACGAAACAATTCACAAAATTAGTTAAAGATTTAATATTATAGAGTTTGAAAATTAAAATAAAAATATAATTTGATTTTCTAATTTATTATTTAATAACGATTAAAACATATTTGCTAACTATATAAAAAAATTTCCTTAAATATATAGGTGAAAACACAACTTGCTGAAAAAGCAGTACAGGCTGCAAAAGCTGCAGAAGAGGTGCTTTCAGGAAAGAAAGTAATAGTAGATCAATTACAAGAAGAAGTGAGGGAAGCACAATCAGTTGTTCAAGAAGAATCCGCATCTATGGAACAAGAACAAGCTAATGTCAATGCTGCTGTACAAGCAGCACGTCAGTCACAAGATCAGGTAATTTTTAAACTTTAAAAAATGAAAATTTATATTACTAGATTGAAATATATCTATATAAATAATTTCATTTATTAAATTTTTTATTAATATTATAATTTATAATTATAATTTATAATATATATTTTTGTATTATAATTTAAAAAAATTTAAAGTTAAAAAAATACTTATGAATAAAAGAAATAATTGTATATTTTACAAATATTAATTTTACTTACATTTAGATTTTTTCAAAAAGAATTTTCGAAAAGAATTTTCTTTTTTCATAAATAATAAAATATTCTTTATTTTTCTTTATCACAATCATTAAAAATATATAATACAAATTTTTGCTATTTTTTTTTGATCATTATGAATAATAATTTAATTATTTCATAACAATTAAAATCTTTTTTTAATATTCTTCTAAAATGAGAATTATTTACCTATATTTTAAACAGAATGTATATATATATATATATATATATATATATATATACTACCTAATAAATAATT